TGCTCAGTGTTGCATGCTTCAGGTGGTCACTGCAGGGTTTAGGTTTCTGGCTCTGCCACCATCATTCAGTGTTAAAGTAGCTGTTGTTACTAGTGACTACCTTGCATGGACAAGTACCAAGTGTCTGATCCCGAGTATCCCTTTTGGTCTCACTGTGTAGTTTATTTAATGTCAAATGCTGAAATTTGAACTTGTCATGCCAAGCATGTAGTAGCAAAGTGCTGTAAGAAAACTGTCCAAGACTTGTTTAAATATTACTCTCGGCTGGTGTGCAGCTCATTGCACAACAAGAAAAAAAATCAGTAAGCACAGTTAACACACCAAACCTCCACAATGTTAACCACACTCTTGAACATTCAGATTCAGATGAATTAACCATCTCGCATAAATTAAGAATTTTTAAAGGCCCTTTACAAAACATATTACCATTGAATGTCATTAGACTTTACAATTAAGGTCAGCAGCCTGAAAATAATGATCACCTTATACAATCTCAGCTGCTGTGACAGTGCTGCATACAAGCCATTATGAATACCAGCTACAGAACATATGCTTGATTTACTATTTTACAGTGTAAACATACATGCAACACTTTCGAACATATGAACCATTTAAAAACATTGGAGATCCAGTAGGCTTACAGTTATGTCTCTGTATTTATAATTAGGGCTTCTAGGCTTTCGTTTTCATCACTAAACACTGAATAAGCACCACAAAAGGGATATTCAGTCTGTACTGACTTGACCCCTTGCCAATTACCATTTTAAAGGCAGGTCATTCCACATTAAATCAAGCCCAGAACTTTACTTGCTGGTCTGCCTGTGATTTTTTTGTAAATATCGTTACTTTCTGAGCAAGGGCTTTCTTTCTGTGATCAATTGCCTAATAGCTTATAACACAAACTTTCTTTTTGCAATGTGTTGTTTCTTGAATCCTAACTTACATTTAATGCAAGTTTCATTCTGTAGAGCATCATGTGTGAAAGACGTGATTATACAACTAATACAATCAAAGGTTTTATTTGCAATTAGGTATACTCTTGTTACTTAGCAGCTGAACTGAACTGCTGCAGCGGCAACCTGAAATGTGCCCCGAATAACACTAAAGAACAAGAAAGACAAGAATTAAAAGTCAAGCAAGTACTTTCAAAATTAAAAATGGGTCATTTTAAACCAGCTCTACTAGAGTTATTGCTGGATCATGTCCAATTAATCCTAGAAGAATTCACTGGTGCTTTTCCAGCTTCATTTAAATATTTTTTTTAAAGAAAAAACTCCCTTCAAACTTCAAAAGTTCAGCCAAATGAATAAGAACCTTTGACCACAAAAGACACCCTGGGCTCAACACAGATACCATTTTGCGTAGCACCAACTTCGACACTTCATGAACAAGTATTTATTTAAAAAAGACCACCACCAGCGCCTAACTCCTTTTTGGAAAGTTACCCAAAGAAAGGGCAATGCATTATTTATATTTGGCTTAACACTTTAGGTAAATGTTTTTTTCATAAAACAAAATCACCCAAATGTAGATTTTTGATCTGATCAAACCTGATCAGACCAAATATTTGGCCCGATGCTGATGAAATCTACCAGAATCAAGAATTCAGAATCAGAATCTACATTCTGAGGTTCACTGATTTAGTATTTATCAGTGGGCTCTTAAGTACTGAACAAGAAAACAGCAGTCAGAGAACTAACAGGCAGGAACCTGCTCAACTTGGCTAAATTGGAAAATCAATACTGTTTTAGTCATTCGTGTTAATGGACAACCTTGATAAATTAAATTAAAACAAAATCCATACTGCTGCTGCAGTTCACTGCAGATATTAAAGGGAGAGTATGCCTAATTACAAATAAAACCTTTAATTGTATTAGTTGTGTAAACACATTCACAAGACTCACCTGATGTCCTCCAATCAACCCAAACTAAAACCTATAGGAAATCTGGATGAGAGACAAGGATGCAATATGTCGAAAACGGAATAAAGTCTAGACGTGTGTATGGGGTTAAGTTAAATTTAATTAATAAATTGCAATAGAAGCCCATCTAAGACCTTTGAGGCCAGAAAATGGAAGCATCCGTTGCAACTGTTAATGTTTTTGGTTTATTTAAATTGGAAGAGAACACGTTCTGCCACCTAGTTAAAAAAATGTGTTCCACTAATTAAAAAAAGTGATTTCACTTCTTCTCTTCAGGCAGGTGGAAGTACTGTACATTGCACCAAGTAAACCATCTGCCAAAGTACTAACTGCTTCACATTTACAACCTAAAAACAGTGAGTGAGTCAGTGTTTACTTCATATTCAATTCAATCTTAGTTTGAAATTTTAGGATTGCAATTGTATTCAAAAGTGTATCATCTGCTTTTTATAGGAAACTGAAAAAGATGAAAGCCCAATGCCAAAACAAGATGGACACTTAATTTACAAGTCAAAGCTTTAAATAAACAAAACCTTTTTTTATGGGGGGGGGGGGGATCATGCAATTTTGGAAATTAACCAAAAAAACTTGCATTATGCTAAACGCAAAGCACAGAATAAAGCAAAAAACAGACTAAAATATCAGACATGCAAATCAGATTTTGTAACAATGGTGTGATAAATCCAGGCATCGTTGTAAACAGCACACTTTAGGGCCAACAAAAAATCCAGTCACTCCAGTGATGAACGGAGGAGTTAACCGCAAACCTTTGCACAAAATTGTGTTCGCATTGACTTTTAAACACTATAGTTCATAGCACCCCTCAGAGAAAGGCTGGAATCTCACCTCGTCTGCTCTGCACTGAAGGCACAAGGAAAGACGAGCAAAGTAAGAAGAGCACAAAGAGGTTAGAATACTGGAAACCAAGAAAATGAGCTTAACATTACACAGAAATATTAAGCATTAAGTAGGACACCGCATTGAAGAAACCCAGATATTAAGGTTTTGTACAGTATAGCTAAAATTTTCTGATCCTGATCTACAATGATTGGTAAAGGCAACACAAAATATGCAAGGGGAAAATAAAGATGTTAGGTATAGAAAAAGTACACAAAGACACAAGATCACAAGAGGTCAGGCTTCTAAGCTTCTAAGTGTCAAGTAAAACCCTTTAGGGGAAGAATCCAACTAACTTGGAGGCTTTTAAAGAGGTTCCACATAAAGCACAACAACCATGTGCAGATGCACTTCATAAAGAGCGCGTGGAGACTTTCAGTATACAGTTTACATCCATTACAAATTTCTGAATCTGCCTGCGTGGTGGATGCTTTTTCAAGATGTAGCCCAGTAGTAATGTGCGGGCTGACTTACACCCGCGGGTCAGGTGGGCTCGGGTTAAAAAAAAAAAAGATTTGAAATCAGGTCGGGCGCGTGTGGGTTCGTTTCTCATAACCGGTGGGTGCAGGTCAAAAACAACCCGACCCGCGCATCACTATAACCCAGCATTCATACAACAGTGGCAAATTTAGACTCCTGTCTCGCATTCCCTATAGTGGCAGCAAAGGAGTTTTTGCACACCCAATGTGATGGAGACGTCTGTGAGGGACAGTTACAAAATTAGTGAAAGTGATGTCTGAAAGACAGCACCCTTAAGACCGCATCTGTGGGTTCTTGGCACAGACAAGAATCAGTGTGATAATTGAATACGATTCAGATTTTGAATCCTCGTCTTTACAAACACTACCCTTTGTTCAGAAACAAATTTACTTATGGGTGACCCCACAGGCATAGCTTTCCGACGAAAGCAACAGTCTCTTAAAATCTGCCTTGATTAACTTAATTCCAAATCTGTTAATACCGGGATTACTATTCGATGGCAAAGACAACCGTAGAAACGTTTTTGTAGAACGGTGCAAAAGATAGCAGTCGAACTCACTGATCTGGTTCAGGGTCTCTTGTGGGATCCAGCTCATGTCCACATCATTGTGGCTCGACGTCCCCATTTCCACCTTGGGAGCAGGTCTCCTTCTCTGTAAAAATCAGACGAAAATGACTGAAACCCGAGTTACTAATTTACACTTAAAGTCTAGCATTTCTCACTGCGAGCAGGACGTCTGACAAAATCATCCCACCTTTTCAAGGACATTTTTGGATATTTTGGATATGGTTTTGGATATTTAGCAGACTGGCGATTTTCAATATGAGGTACGCCAGACTAAAACTGGTCAGTACTGGGTTGGGAGAGCTTTAAAGAAAACTGGACAGCTGTTAGTGGTGTTGGTGGTGCAGTAGGTGGCAGTCTTCCCCCTGGACCAGAAATTCCAAGCCATCGCTCCAGGCTTCAAGACTTCCCTCCTCTTATTGGTAAGATTCTGTTTACCAATAACACCTGGCACTAACCATAAAACACTGGATTTTTAAAAGCTCGTTGGACAGAATTTCTTAATGACTGTACTCTATAGTGAGGCTTTTTGTGTCATACAAATAGCAATATACATTAATAATCCTGGGAACAAGAACTGAAAATACTGGATTACAGAGGAAAACGGGCCAAAAGTTTCAATTAGCAGTTTCCAGATGCTCAGCCTTTACACACATGCTATCCCTGCCCTGGCTGAACTGACCTTGCAAGATAAGAGATCAGTCAGAAGCTATATTCCTCAACAGCATTTCAGCGTTTTTGTTACTTGTATAAAGCACACAAGTGCGGTATTCTTCAGTATAATGGATCAAATTAATTTTTGCAACATTTTATCAACACATTAACTCCAACTGTGTTTACTAAGGGTACCCTTTACTGCACACTTTACAGTGTGGCTGCAATCAAATGTTCAACCTTGCTTCTACGTACCCATGACCGCCCTATTAATACACCGCCGTCACCACATGAGCATTTAAAGACTCAGAGCACGTGATCTATAAAAATACCAAGACCATGGAGATCTCAAGGTCCGCATTTGTGCATTCTTGACTTAATTGGACCAACTACCTTCCTAAAACGGATTACTTCTCAAGCTTCAAGGCTGTAAAAGAGATCATTCAATGGTGACCTGTGAGAGGGTGACTCTCCAGGACCAGGACTGGAAACCCCCATTATGACTGTCCCCAAGACAGTTTAACAAGCTCTGTTTCTGCCTTCAGGGACACTGGGTCCATGGTCCTCGATGACAAGAGCACCCAATAATTCATCAAACTGCTGAAAGAAGTCATACCTCACTCTTTAATGAGCTAGTCACAGAGTTCTTGCTCCTTTGCCATGTATACCATCTTAAAATTGACAAAAATTAAAACTAACTTTCTGTGCTGCCACAAGGCTGCTCAAAGTACATGGAGGTGCAGAAGTTCTGCCAGCTGGGTTTGTCTTGCTTGCTTACCTTTCTAGACTCCAGGAGCTGGTGCAGCCCAACGGCAACAAGCAATCCCAGACCCGACAGAAAGACATACATGAAGATCCTGCAAAGGGGAAATTCACCATGAGGGACTTTCATGCAAGAGACCAAGAAAAACAAACCTGAGCTGATTATTAAAAACAAACCTAAAGCTACTGCATTCATTCATTTTTCCCCCCCATTTCAAATCAGATGGCAAACAAATGATAAGAGAAAAGTTCAAAAGAAAATCATTCATTCCTAGGAGTTTATCTGATGGTCTTCAGATTTTTCTGAACGAACTACACACTTAAGAAATTACACAAATGAAATTCTCAAGCTCTTGAGCCATTTAATTTGGCCAAGAAGTTTTACCCACGACTGCCAAATTGAAACAACAGTATAGCTAAAGTCGTTAAAATTAAAGACTTCAGAATGAGCTCACTGTACGTCTCAATTTGAATGTCTCACAAATCCCAAGTCAAAATAATTAAAAAACTAGACCCTTGAAATCTGTGTCAGTAATTTCAACCAAGATTCAAACCGAAAATACTAAACAGCTTTAGAACTTCTTTAAATTTTCTTGTGTTCAGACATTAACAGTGTTTTGTTCCGAGAATCTCTCAGATGTCCAGTTTCAGACTCCTGCTCCAAATGGCATGAACAATTTTGATTAGAGCATTTCCTCACGATGTTAAGTGACCACTTACGTTTCACCATCCAGGCCATCCTCTCTCTCAGTGATGGTAACAGTCTGGTTGAATACCGCATCTTGGAAAACATTGCCCTGACAACAACAACAAAAAAACAGCATAAAAATTCCATCTGCAGTGCTAATGCAAAATGAATCACTACAGAACAGGTTGTTCCTGCTGAAAGTCTGCCAACCACAATATGTGGTCATTTTTTCCCCACGAAACAATGTGCCAGGAGACACTCTGGGGTAGACTGGCTGACCCCAGGACAGGAAATTAGTCCTTGGGGGGTTGCCGATATCCAGTGATGGAATGGAATGATCCCAGGATAGAACCGGGTTGTCCCCACCCCATTATGGGGGCCTTAAGCAACAAGCACAGACACGTTCACACACAAAACTTCCTTTGGATTCTAAATAGTTTAAATCAACAGCTTTTTGCCTTTGCCCCTCCCATACACATTATTAAGGGCATTCAAATTCAGTTCTCTGCAAACCAGTGTTTAAGTCTTTCAAATATTCTTATGCTACCACAGATGGTTCTATAAAGGTGCCTTTTAAGTGCACAAACCTCATCAATATGGATATGATTATGTCCGGGTTATTACTGCAGCTGTGAAGGTTCAATCTAGGCATCCAGAGTACAGACCACTCTGACTGCTGTACTGCTGTAGAGACTGCTACATGAGCTCAATGTGACCACATCAAAAGCACCCAGCCTCATACATTCAGCTCAGAATGAATGACGAAAAGGCAGTTTGGTGTCCAATGTCTATGCCCTACAGAATATATTCCTTGCAGTTCCTCTTATACGAGTGCTGGATTTCTCCAGTGTCGTTTTACAAGGTTTGAACAGACCAACTGACTGAGAGATCTGTGCAGATGTCTCAGTAATGGTGGGGGGGAAAAAAATCCAACCACAGCTCAACGTCAATGGAGCCGGAGCCAGATTTCCCCCACAGAGGAGGAGGAGGAGGGGGAGAAGGTCAGGAGCTGCCACACTCACGCTGTTGTCCTTGTAGTTCAGGTTGATGACCAGGCCGAAGGGGCGCCCCCCCATGGGCTCTGCCGGGATGAAGGAGTACTCGAAGGTGGCCTGGCGCAGGGGCTGCACCACGGTGTTCAGCTGCAGGGCAGTGAAGTTCTGGATGTAGAACTGGTAGTCCTGGGGGTAGCGGAAGGAGGCATCCAGGGACTCGACCACAAAGTCTTCGCTGCCCTTGTTGGTGAAGCCGGCCAGGAATTTCACAATGTTGTTCGCGGGGAAATCTGATTGAAGCAAAAGGCAAATCTGCTTTTTGGTTGTGGCGTGAAAGGCAAACATGGTGTAAGATGTAGGATAAGTCAAGCCAATGCAGCATTTAAAACTCTTGGCCAGCCTGAGCCATACTTTTGCATCTCTAAAGAGATCCCTTCTGCAGTATCTTTTTAAAGATATCTCATGGGCACAACTGTACTGTCTTCCTTGTTACTAGGACAGCTGCTAAACTGGGGAGGCCATCTGATTTAACCTGATAAAGCATCCCCTTCCTTAAACATGCAGATGTCTTGGAGCAGCAGTTTCTTCTGTGAAGCTATGCAACCAGTTTTAACGACTGCCCTGCCCAATTTGCATTTTACTGAATAACCAACAAAATCTGAAACTGAAATACATATATATACACATTTCCTTTTGACGTTAAAGGTATGTTTTGAGAAAAAAAGTGCACAGTTAATGATACTTATTAAATTGTGGTCATTCTGAATAACTGCTCATTCATGACCATATTACGATCATAACCTTAATAACCCCAGTAAGGTATCTTGCTTTGCTCAAGTGACTACTGTACAAGCACTAATCACCTCAAGAGCTGGCGATTACACAAATAGGTGTCAGGGTTTAGGACAAATAACTAACGTATGCTTTTGAAGCCCATACCTCAGCACTGTCACAAAACGGCTGGATAAAATCCTAAGATTAATTAGCTACCAGCAACCAAACAGGCCTGAAGGGCAAACCAGCCTCCTCTCCACTTGTAACCTTTAAATTAAGGTATTTTTTTCAATTTCAAAATAACCCCTAATGTTGCAACTTGAACAGACTCCAGCTTCTTCTTGGCTTACTGATAAAGGATGGACTACATAATCCTGGACCAGAACAGCAACCCACTGGCTAGGCATCTGTCCTCTCACAGGGCTTTTTACCCACAAGTCACTCAGGAGATGGAACAGTCGTCATTATTGCGATAACTGTACCTTCTCCTTTGACAAACAGGATGGTGGTATCAGCGTTGGGAGATGCCTTTGCTTCCCCTGAGGTGACATCTTCTTCCTCTTCATCCTTCTCTTCTGTCTGGAAGATGATGGCAGTAAATTTCAGAGAGCAACACTACAGTTGGTTACCACGAAGTGAGGAAAAGGCATACATTTTCGCAACAGAACAGTGCTTCAACCATCTTATTCCCAGTAGGCTTAATTGCCATCTTATTTTCAAGATGAGTCAACCATTTTCCTCATACACTCCACATCTCTGTTATCTCAGCAAAACAGTGTTAATTTCTGCAGTTCACTGAATGTCTAAGTGGAGTACATACAATCATTCTGTAAAGTATCTCACTTCTGGACTTGTCCATGAATATGGTTTGTGGTAGTTTGTTGGAGACCAATCTGGTTCAAGTTTTTCTGGGACTTGAAAACCTTAAAGTTAACACTTAATTTAACGTTGTGTTAACAAATTGTTTCTGCAGGTTTTGGCAGGAATTACAGTTAAGACCCAATAATTTTAGCATGTTTTTATACATTCACTTTAAAAAAAGCAATGATACACTTCAGTGAAGATATTCACTGAAGCCAATTCAGTGAAGATATTACAACAATTTATGCCTGATATTTTTGTTTTGCTGCAATTGACTCTGAAACCAATAAAGTTAACAGAAAAGAAAAATAGTAAAAAAAATAGGTTTACTGCACATTAACTGAGTTTTCAATTATAGGATATTTAATAGACATTTGAAAAACAGTTCAAGAGCCTCAGTGAGGTCTCACCACCATGCTGGTGTGGACATTGGGGCAAGACAATGTTATCTCTCCCAGCCCAACAGCAGTACAAATCCTACCAATTCTGTTGTTTCATCATCTTCCACTTCAGCTTCATCATCCTCGTCCTCCGCGATCACATCGTCCACTGCCTCTTCATCTTCTGTTGCATCTTGAGCTGCCACTAAAGGCCCTGCAAATGTTATTCATTAGCAAAAAAAAAACTGCTGTAATTGTTCTTGCATAAAATTCCACCATCTCGCCTGTCTTCTCAGACAGAGTCAGGTGATCTCAGAAACACCTTTGTTGAAAAGACAGACATACAGCAATCAGAATAAACTCCACGGCTGGGTCAGGAAGCTGTTCTGTCCTGATTTCACAACTTGAAACTTTGAAAGAAAAAAAAACGGAACTTAACTGATTAAATGCACATGCTCAATAGCATAATATATCACTATTTCGCGAAATTTTCTATTGAGCAACGAAATTAACTAAACATGAAAACGGAGAACAGAAATAAAATCTCACTAGAGTATTTATTCAATAGCTATTAAGAGAAAATCAATTTCCAAACTTTTCCCATTTTAAACGAGACACCGACTTTTTCAGTAGATCTTGAAGACCTGCCTGGAAGTTCAATCACCTAGAATACAGAAACCTCTATAATGCACGTACGTTATGTTATTAAACACGTTTTCTGCCCTTGTTAAATAATGCTACAGTAACTTTGTATTTCAAAGTTACAAAAGCTACACAGAGCTTGGCGCTGACTTCCAGGCCTGTTGGCTAAGTTTCCTTCTCAGCGTGGTTTGTGCGAAAACATTAGGATGTTACAAACCACAATCCGTAGATTTCAACACATTTTGTTTTAATGTTTCTAAACTACTTTCGGATTACTGGAGGATGGACTGAATCTTTCAAAATCGTTTCAAAATCGACAACACTGTTCACAACAAAATATTCCAGTACACTAGTTACACACTGCAATTTACAGAAACAGAGACTCATTTAAAACAGGTAGACAAAATGAAATCGCCGAGACGGGTAGCATGTTAAGGACACGTCAGCTATACAATGGGTTTGTGCGTAGACCTAACTGTAAATAACGTATATTGACTGCATGCACAACACGTATAAAAAAAAACACAGACATAAGAAAAGTCTGCATCGTTTTCACAGTACAGAATATAATTCGACAATTTTGATCCTTTTTAGGCTCCAAAGAAAACGACCACTTTCCCCGTCCTCCCTACAACGTGCTCCGCTTTGATTTTAGTTCCCACTCTTGCAATTTTCCAAATGAACGACCAAGACGTTGTGACTCCTAAATAAACATTCGAACATTAACGTGTTACAATTAAAACATTTTAAATGCAAAAGAGTGCTACGATATATGCCCATGACCCCTCTCTCTGTGTGTGTTAGCTTTCTGGAGGAAAAGCACAAGCAATCAGGACCTACAGACCACCGCGGAGGAGTTAAAACAAAAATCATTTATCATGTATGCCCACAAACAAAAGCACAGGCGGCTCACCTTTGCAGTTGATGAGGATTGTTGCAGGAAAAGCTAGCAACGCGATCAAAAATAATTTGGGCAGAAATTTCATCATGATTGCCGATTCCAGGCCGGTTGTGCGCACTACGCTCCTGCCTCCACCCCCTTGTTTCTTTCACTCAGTAATGGCGCACAGCTCTCATCCGGGTAAGTGAGCCATGGCCTCTGGCGTCACTGCTTTCTGTCAGCCACACCTCTACGCTGGGTCATTGAGCCATTGTGTCACACCGTCCCGAAAACCCTTACACTTACACGGCGCTTTTCTGCACACTCCACTCGACGCGCAATACATTCAATGAGGTCTCTCCTCCACTACCACCTATGTGTTGCCCCCACCTGGATGATACGAAGGCAAAGTGCGCCAGTTCGCTCACCACACATCAGCTATCAGTCCGGAGGAGAACAGAGGGATGAAGTCAATTAATAGTGGGGATTATTAGGAGGCCATGACTGGTAAAGGACAGGGGGAAAATTTGACCATGAAAATGGGGTAACACTCTTTGTTATTTTCTCCTTGTAGCTATACTTGTCTTTCAAAGGCCTTACTAAAAGCCCTTAGATCAGAGTTACCGTATTAAAGCTCTTTGTCTGAGTGCTGCCCAGAGAGATGACATCTCAGGGTACTGTCCTTTACCCCAACTTATTACTAACAGTAATCCTGTGGAGTTTCAGTGATGTTGGTCCTTTGTCTTTTCTCACAAGCCCTGGACTTGCTGATTTTTTTCATATCCAATGTTAGCCGCCTTGACTAACAGCACTTTGTTTTGTGTCACAATACAGCCTTGAGCTGCAGTATCTTACAGAGCCTTTTGTTATGTCTTTTTGAAGGCCAGCCTGCCCCATGTTGTCACTATAGAAGGCAAGGACTTATTCTTCTTAGACAGCAATACCTAACTTTGATACGACCATTGTTTTCATTTCACGGCAGGGCCTTTTCTCCAACCTCTGCATTCTACTGGACGCAGGCTCCCTCAATCTGAGAGGCACGTAAGCAGGGGGAAAAAAAACATGATAAAACACCCATCAAATCCATTCTCTAACTGCTCACTCCACTTCAGGGTCATGGGGAAGCCAGAGCC